GTTCTTGTATTTGTGTCATACCTGTACTAAACTGTAGATACTGTAGAATGTACAATGGTAGGCTATATCAAATAAAAATAATGGACTGAGGCAAATACAAATAATACATGGACTCAACATGTATTAACATGTATTAATATTTTTAATTTATACTACAGAACATACAATATTGCATGAAAAAACATAATGGCCTAACGTGGCCGAACAAATGGATTTTTATTAAAATGTTTTCCTTTTGAGGATCTTCGCCGAATTGGAGAGCTTCTGACGTATGTAGCCCTTGATCTCCGCCTCTGTCTTCTCTTTGAAGACAGATTTAACTTCACCTAAAGAGAGAAAGAAATAAAGAAAAGGGGAATCAACAGATGAAGAGACAAATTACAAAAACAGACAGACAGACAGTCAGGTAGACAGCAGGGATGCAAACTCATCAGGTATGAAAAAGGTGACAAGGATCCGACCCCCCCACCCCACGGAATATCGGCTTTAAAATGAGGAATAACAGGATGTTAGCAGTCAGAACAACTAAAGCAGTTAATAATAACAGAAACGCCAAAGAGTCACATCTAATAGAAATATATAAAAGCATTTATTTGAATTGTGGAGCAGTCAGTTTATAATTTTGGCAGGACTGTTGAGCATTTTGAAAATGTATTTTCATGCCTCTGTGCAAGGCTGTCTTTCTATCTGTATAGCCAGTGGTGTAAAGTAACCAAGTTCATAAACTCAACAAGTACTATACTTGGGTACAATTTTGAGATACTCATACTTTATTTAAGTATTTCAATGTGTTGCTACTTTGTTCTTCTTCTCCTCTACAGTTCAGAGGTAAATGGTGTACTTTGACTCCACTAAATGTATTTAATACCTTTAGTTACTTCACAGATGTGGATGAATGATGTGAAATATAATCAAGTGTTAAATCAGACTTTAGTTCCACCTGGAGTAAATCCACAAGCTACCCTGCAGTATACAAAGTCATTCAAACTAGCTGCACCTTTACCAGCTTTGAGAACACTTTCATGATCAATCATTATAAAACATATCATATATATTATTCTGAAATGGACCAATCTGCACAATGACTACTTTTACGCTACTTTAACTATATTTTGATGATAATACTTTTCTACTTTTACTTGAGGAACATTTTGAATGCAGTACTTTTACTATAACAGAGTATTCTGACACTCTGGTACTTCTACTTTTACTCAAGTACAAGATCTGAGTACTTCTACTTTTACTAAAGTACAAGATCTGAGTACTTCTACTTTTACTACAAGATCTGAGTACTTCTACTTTTACTCAGGCACAAGATCTGAGTACTAACGTTAGCAGATAGTGACAATGTTAGTTAGCTTGCTCAACAATTCTTTAAAGTGGACCTATCATGCTATATTATAATAATATAGTGTAGGACCATAACTATATAAGGCATATTTATACTTTTTTTTTTTCAAATTACCAAACAGACCATGCATTTTAGCCATGCCTCATTTCACTTTTTTACCCCTGTTTTTGCAAGGGCTGATTCTGTGAGAACAGCACCATCTACAGGCCTGGCATATGTACTACAGCGTCTCCAGCGCTTTCGAACGGCAATGGCCGTGGCTGTCTCCTCCTGATTGGTGGAGTTGGCCCAATAGCCGTAGCGCCACCGTCCTGACGTCAGGACAGTGTTCAAATCTGGATCAGTTTTGATCAGATCCGTTGCAGCCCCTTTTTTAGAGATTTGGGTATGGAGGAAAATAGAGAGGGTTGTGTTTTCTGACACTTGGTGAGTTCCCTGGAACACCGGGGACACATATTCATGTAGAAAAGACGTACACAAGTGCATTTTGCATGATAGGTCCCCTTTAAATAATATTGCATCATTATAATATATAAAAAAATAACACCATGTGCGTCATGATGGCACAAAACAGCTCGCGGCCACACTAATTACTTACAAACAATCTTTGTGAGTTCAGCAGAAGGAAGGGATGGTCGTGTCTCCCCCCTGCTTGATGCCCCAAGCCCAGTCACGCTGTGAGCAGCCATAAACGCTGTTGTGTACAGACCATGCATTAGGTCGTTGGTGTACTTAGCTGCTGTGGCCTTGTTGCACCGGTCTTTAATGGCCTGTTTAATATCCTAAGAACATAAAATAAGTAACACACCGTGTCATATTATCAGGACATGATTTGAAATAGCACTATTGTGTCTAAGACAACAATTAAAATCATCCAAATCAACATACTTGATAGTATACTTATTAGACAATATGAAACTTACCAGACAGACAGCATCGGTGGAAATCCCACCATCCTCCAAAGGCAGATGTGTTGTGGAACACTGCATATTTAAAAAAACACACAATAATCTTTGTTACTAATAAGAAACTATAGAGAAGATACATAGACATACAGACAGACAGGTACACACAGACAGAAAATCAGGCAAAGAATGAGAAGCCGGAGCAACATGGCCTTAACGCCTTAACGTGGACTAAAATGGTTAACAAGAAACAATGCCATGGCAAAAAGAAATATAAATATGGGGAAATATAATTAAATGTTATGAGTTCTAATTTGGATATTTAAACAATTTTATGTTTAGGTAATGATTGCACTTCCATCAATTAGTGATCAGTTAAATCAATAATCATCTACTTGATTTATAACCAAGAACAATACTAATAACAATATATAATAGCTGTCATTCATGTGATTAAACAACAACCTATCATGTACCTGCAAACTTGGTCAGCAGTTGAGGTGTGCGCCGTAGATGTTCCTTCCTCTTCTGGTTTTCTCTCTTTAATTGAGTGTGTTCATGAAATAAACAAAGTTTAAAAAATGACAACACAAAGCTGATTTAAAGACATAGCAGATGTAAACAAGTAACAAAACATACCACGGTCTGAGTGTTGCTCAGTGAGCTGCTGCATTGAGGAAATCATCCTAGGGAGACCTACAAATACAGTGATTATTAGCCATTTCTCTCATTGAATCAAGATAAGAAGTCTACAGCCAAATTACAGGGGTTAGAATTGACCATCTCAGTTTGGTGTATTGGCATGCTAACATTGCTAACTAGTACTAAACAAAGTATATGTATGTAGGGCTGATGGGAATGTCACAAGTTTTTAGGTTATTTTCACATAAGGTGCCAGATGGTGCGTAAGGAAAACTAACAACATTTTCAGGTTTTGATTTACTTTGAGGGATATGTGGATATCTGTAAAAAAAAATGCATTACAACCCAGCCAGCAATTGTAGAGACATTTAACTTAAAACAGAAAAAAAAGCTGGGATTCAACAATTGGAAATTGGATTCGTCCGGCGACCATAAAGGTTCATGGCAATCTATCCAATAGTTGTTAATATGTTGGAATAGCCTCCCAACTGAGATACGGGATTGTCCCACTCTCAATAGTTTTAAAGGACAACTCAAAGAATGGTTGAGAAACAAACAGATGTGCGATCACCGCTAACTGCACTTTAACACAGGGGTATCTCCTCTTGCACTTTATGCATCTCTTGTATCCTCTCTTGCACTTTATATGTCGTTGCTATAGTGTACTGCCATGTGGTAAATGCTTGTGTGTGCTGCTCTTGCTCTCTTGCATATCATGTATTTATTTTTTGCTATGTTTACAAATGTCATGTTCTTATATGTTGTATGTCAGGGACTACGGATGGAAATTAGCTCAAAGCTAAAATCCGGCATATTTACACTTGAAGCATTATTTGTCTTACGTGTTCATTAATGTGCATTGTCCCTATTCCAATAAACGATTAAATGAAAAAATGAAAATGTTGATACATTTGAGTCCAGACTGAAGTGGTGGACTAGCTATGACTGACTGGGAGACAAACATTCTGTAAATTGCAAAACAGCTTCATGCTGCTACTGTGGCTAAAAAATATATTACTGTTAAATCAACATACCTTCAATGATGCTCAAAGCATTCCTGAGGGAATCATTCTCCCTCTCCAGTGCAGCAACCCTTTCCTCCAACGTCCTCAGGTAACTCTTTTCGTTCACCTCTTGGGCCTATCAAAAAGCACATCATTAAAAAAAAAAGGTTAGGTTTAAAAGCCAGTGGTGGAAAGTTAGTTCTAAATAAATGTACTTGTGTTTTGAGGATTTAGCAGCCAGGTACAGTATGTATTGCACAGTTTAGGTACATTTAGGTCACTGCACTTTGGACTTAGTATAAAACAGATACATACCTTCTGAAGATCCTTATATTTTTGGATAATGTCTGTGGATGACGATGACTCCAGCCGTGATTTTTTGCTTGGTCTCTCCTGAGAACAGACAACAACATACATAAATATTTGTTTTTGTGTGTGGTTGTGTGTGTATCTTCATAAAGTTGTGGTGTTTCGATTTTGAATAACTCACCTCTGACTGTTCCACGTCGTCGTCCTCCTCCAGAAAAGGCCTCCTTTTCTTTGCCCTCTTGCCTTTTCCCATTGGCCCGGATTGTTCAAAAGGTTCTTTACCTTCAACCAGCCGGTTCCTCATTTTGAGGAGTGCACCTTTGTCATCTATTGGAAGCAACAAAGATATTCAGCCTATTACTTTGTACAATCCATATATATATATATAGGGTACATCAACATTTGTATGTGAGTCACATTGTCTGCTTACATGACAATATGTTGGTAATGATACTCTGTATAGGAAAATATAACATATGGTCATGCTACACCCATTATGAGTATACTTATGATACTTAGCTGATAATACCTAGCCAGGTGAGTTAAACTATATATTAGTGGCAGCTGGTGAAAAATATTTTAGGTCGGGCTGTGGAAGATGGGGGGGATGGGGGCATATTTTATACCAGGGGTCTGCAACCTTTTTGAAACTGAGAGCTACCTGAAGGATAATGAACTCTATGGAGGGCTGCTTTTTTTATATAATCTTTCTGAAGAATATAAGTATATTTTTACTAATTACTGTTTCCAATGGGTGACATTTTTTTAGATAAAAAACAGTATTTTTATTTGTAATAATAACTTTAGAGCGGATTTATAGAGCGCCTTTCATTGAACAGATCTGAGGACGTTGATTGGCTGAAATGTGCTGCCATATTTTTCGGGTACCAACGGTCAGCGATTGGTTGGCTGCTGCTGCGCTGGGGTGCTTAATTCCCAGACGAGAGGGTAATGATTCTAATGATTTGAAACATATAACGGTTTAGATTTTATATATTAAACAGTATTGTACTTATTATAAATATAAAACCTTCCATCCTAGCACCTCTATTGACCAGTCGCCACTGCTATATATTAACAAATAAAACATAGGCTTAACAACTGTTAATAATAATGATAAGCTGTATGATCTATTTAAATATGCCAACTTACCGCCAGTTGATAACACTTTAGCAGTCCAAGCCATCTTTTTCCCATTTTGGGGCCACCAGACAAGATATTCCTTTTCCAATTCAGGATCGTATTCCCCCTCAATTAAATTTAACCGGCCAACTTCTATGGTATCATTGCTGAATTCATACAGCCCGTACATTTTTGGTTCAAAAGTAGCTCTAAGTAGTGGCAACAAAGTGATTACAAACCGGAGATTGCAGTTGGCACTGCGGAGGTCTGTATCCTAGCAACGCTAGAGAAGCGGGAAGCGCGAGGCGAAAGTTGGGCACGAGCACGTCACCACTCACCAGCTACCCTCAGCGGCAGAATAATCCGTGCCTGGAAAAAGTTCTTTAGTTTTGATTCTCATTCACAAAAAGAGAGAAAACCTGAGAATGTACAAAAGATATTTGTCAGATTTAGATATAGATATTCCCAGGACTACAAAACGGTACCGGAGGACCCGTATGGCACAACTTGTGACAGGTAAGGACGGGTTTTCTCTTCATATTGGACGAACGGGATGAACTGCCAATATAAGACGTATTTCATTTGGTGGTTTTTGTCTCACATTACTGTATTCAACTAATTATAGCAGACTATACTACAACATTTTGAAACGTTTTTTAGATGTATAGATTCACTTCGTGTATACTGCTATTATTCCTATTTTGATAGCAGTAGGGCAATATGTAAATTATGTTATATAACATATAAAATCAATATGACTCTAAAAAAGCTGAGACATACATAAACCAAACCTAGCTTTTTGCTGAGATGCCAAATTAAAATGCCCACAATCAATGTGTGTATAAATGTCTGTGTAACAGCTGTGTGATTTTATCAATTTACAGACTCTGACTCATCCAGTGATGAAGCCTCAAATAGATTAATTAAAATCATATTATCAGGATAGTTATTGTGTAGCCTTTTGCTTTATCTCAGGCTGATCACCATTCTGGCGGGACATCAGATGACAGAGGGGAGGATCCACATCATGAAATGGTAGTTTTTTGCATTGACTGATCCAGACTTAAGAAATTGGACTCACTGGTGGACTTATGACTATGCTACTTGGTCACTGATATATTTTTTGAATGCATTGCCACTGTGCATTGCCACATGGTCATCGTTCGTCCGTCATGTACTGTCTTTGTATCCTGCTTGAATGCTCTTTTTATGATGCCTTCCTCAGGAATAGCCCCTCTTTTTTTTAATTGAATTAATTTGATTTCTACTTTTCTGTCTCTCAGAGTGACGATGAAGTAGAGATGGCTGCAGACGACGAAGGAACAGATCAACAACATGAAATGGTACAACATAAACATGCAGGGATTGTTTTACTTATTAAAAAAATAATTTATTCTGTTAAAATCCATGACCTTTGCTACATTACAGGTAGCAGTAAGAGACAACACAGTTTTCTATGATGATAAGAATACAGATTTATCCGACACAAAATAAATTGGGTTACAAATATTTAACAAAATGTATCTTATTATTTTATAACTTATAGTTAACATTAATATTATTTTCACTGTACTGTATGCACATACGACTTTCACCCGCACTGCTACCTTCCCATTTAAATATATTTTGTTGCTGCATGCTATAACACCTGCATTCCCTATGGGCATCAATAAAGATCCATCTTATCTTATAGCCTTTTGCTGTCTCTCAGGCTGACCACCTGTCTGGAGGGTCATCAGAGGACGGAGGGGAAGATCCAAACCATGAAATGGTATAATTTGTGCAGGTCCACTTTGTTCCAGAAAGACAAATTGGTGTTTGGCTTAACTACGACTTCTGCTGCTCTTATATTACAGAACTCTGACCGAGGCACAAACACTTCAGATGAAAGTGCAGGCGAAGATGTAATGGTGTGTAAGATTGTTTTCATTATTATAATGGCAAAAATGTATCTCCTCTGCTTAGCAAACAGTTTAGTATTTCTGGTGGTAACAATATAGTGCTTCTTTAGGACACAATGGATTATAGCTGTATAAGTTTATTTAGGACAGACCAGGTAATGTTAACAGCATGACACTAAATCAGAGCCCACTGTTTATGATTACATCATCAAGATCACACTGGAACGATAAACGTTGTTGATTAACATAAAGAAGGTGATTGGCTGAATTAGGAGTTAAACTGGGAAAATGCTCTTCTGCACCTGGCCTAAATACAGGACTGGATATGATCACAACTAACTTTCTGTATCTCTGCAACTTCTGTATTATAGAATGAAGATAGAGCTAACTCAGTTCCATCTGGTGACGACACTCCCGAAGATCCAATGGTGAGATCATTTAGCTAAATGTGTTTATTTTGCTTAAATATTGAAAATATAGACATTTTATTTTGGTATTGACATATAATGTGTTATCCTTTTTATTAGGAGCATGTATTTGACCCTACCTTCAATGGTGAGAAGAAGATCTATGCTGGTTCTTCAGTTACCATGGCAGCTCTCCTTCTTCTTCTCATGGCTTTTATCCTGAAGCATGGCCTGTCAAAAGCAGCGACCAAACACCTCCTCGAGCTCCTAAACTTTGTGGTGCCCGGATGTGTGCCAAAGTCAGTGTGGTATTTAGAGAAATACTTTCTTGATTATAATGACAAAACAGAAATTCATTTTTACTGTCCCAGATGTGCAAACTACCTCGGTGTTGAACCAGGTAATGAGTGTGGGGTGTGCCAGCAGAGCTTGAACAGAAAGGGTCTACTTGAGAAGGCATACTATTTCCTTGTAATGCCACTTAAAGTGCAACTGAGAAATATCCTTGCCAATGTCCAATCAAAGCTAGGCAAGCATTTCACAAGAGATGCCTCCATTTCTGATATCAACACTGGAAGTGAATACAGACGCGAGGCTCAGGAAGTCAACACTGACAGTATTACACTAACCTTCAATTGTGATGGCGCCCCTGTGTTCAATTCATCAAAAACTTCAATTTGGCCCATCTTGTGTACTATCAATGAATTACCATTTGTGGATAGATGTAAAAATTGTATTGCATACATTATGGTTTGGCAAAGGGAAACCCAAGGTTCAAAGTTACTTCACCCCATTCATCCATGAACTTCAAAAACTGAGGGACACAGGATTCTATTGGAAAGATGATAATGGATTAGAACATCACACCAGAGTAACAGCTAAAATATGTATTTGTGATGCAGTAGCAAGGGCAATGGTGCAGAACTTTAAACAGTTCAATGGAGAATTTGGATGTGGTTTTTGCTACCACAAAGGGGAGGTGGTACCAAAAGGCAGAGGTTTTACTAGAGTCTATCCTGTACAGATAGTTGGATGTGAACTGAGACAAATGGCTGAAACTGTACAACTTGCCGAGTTAGTGATGGAAAACGGTGATGACAAAGCTCAAAGGGGTGTTAAAGGACCAAGTCCACTGATCCTGTTGCCATCATTTGACCTTATCAAAGGCTTTATACCAGACTACATGCATTGTTTTTGTCTTGGTGTAGTGCGTCAATTTGTTAATCTTTGGTTTGACCCTCATTATGCCAACAAGAACTTTCACTTGACTCCTCTTCAGTTAGATGACCTGGACAAAGCTTTGTGTAAGATTCAGCCACCAAATGAAATTAGAAGAAATCCTAGGCGCTTAAGTGAGAGGATATATTGGAAAGCTTCTGAGTGGAGGGCATTTGCTCTTCTCTATTCCCCTGTAATATTAAGGACTGTTTTGCCAGGACTTTACTACAAACATTGGATGCTTCTTGCATGTGCGGTTCACATCCTCCTATCCCAGTTTGCCACTCATGATGAGCTCAATTGTGCAGAGTTATGTTTAGTTCAATTTGTAGCAAAAGTACCAGATCTTTATGGACCTGAACATTGTTCATATAACTGCCATATGTTGACACATCTTACCCAGAGTGCCAGGGACTGGGGTCTTTTATGGGCCAATTCAGCATTTGTGTTTGAAGACATGAATGGAAAACTCTTGCAGTTGTACTCTGGCACGCAATCAGTTTCTTCACAGATTTTTAAGAATTTCTTTTCATATCAGAAAGTTGTAAGAAAAGGAAATGCTTTACTCCAGGATTCAAGCAGAGAAATGCAAGATTTTTTCTTTTCCCTGACCAGTAGTAACATTGTTACGAAGTCAGCAAACTGCATAAGAGAACATTTAGTCACTTTAGGATGTGGCTCTCACAGACTGTTAAATGTGAGGGAGATTGCTGCACTGCAAAACAGTACACCCACAAGGTACCAACATCTTAATAGTGTAACTGAATACAAGCGTTGTGTGTATAAAAACATTTTAGTCACCACCAGAGACTACAGTATGCATTTCAAAAGAAATAATTCAGTGATAGAAACCTCAAATTGCTTTGGTATGGTAGAGTCCTTGGTTGTTGTACCAAAACCCTGCAACTGTGAAAGAGATGCAAACTGTTGTTGCAGAGAACTTCTTGTTTTCTACAAGCCATTGCAGCAGGAGCACATACAGCCAGCTATCTATGATGCAGAGATCCATACAAACATTGCAAAATTTCTTGTAAAAGTAAAGATCTCCAATGAATTGTGTGTATTGACATGTGAGGACATAGTAGCTAAATGTATTGCAATTGAACATGGGGGTAAGCTATATGTGATGAAAATGCCTGTGTTTGAGACAAGTTAAATGTTGAGGGCTAGCACAAACTGTTGAGACTCAATTTGTCTGCACATAATATGATGATTTAAATGTGTTTTTCTTTATGCTATTATTGTTTTTTTATAACTCACTGTTTGATCATTAACTGTATTTTGTAATGCATGTGTGTTTGTGTCTGTGACTGGGTAAATCTGCATGGATATTTCTAAATATGTGAGTAAAACGCCACATTGAAGCTCTGTATGAACTCAGTTGTCTCATTCAATAACAACATTGAGAACATCTTTATCTAAAGTGTAATTCTTTGGCTATTTTGTGTCAAGATGTGTTGAAAAAGAAGATGAAAATATATGTTACCTAAAGGGAAACCAACTAAAACCAGCAATGAAAAATACTAAACAAAGTATAAGACCTGCATTAACATTTAAAAAAAAATGCATACAATGGGACTTGAGTGATTATCATGATACATACCATGGTATACCTGTAGTACCATTTGAATACTCTATGGAGTACCAGTTATCTGAGGTACCGCGGCATGTACTATAGTATCGGAGGTACCATGGTATGTACCATGGTAACAGCTGTGGTACAACGGTATGTACCAGGGTTATACCATGGTATGCATCATGGTAACATCTGAGGTACCATGGTACGTACTATGGTACACCATGGTAAAATCTGAGGTACCATGGTAGTACCATGGTACGTACTATGGTACACTATGGTAACATCTGATGTACCATGGTAGTACTATGGTACACTATGGTAACATCTGAGGTACCATGGTAGTACCATGGTACGTACTATGGTACACCATGGTAAAATCTGAGGTACCATAGTAGTACCATGGTATACCATGGTACATACTATGGTACACCATGGTAAAATCTGAGGTACCATAGTAGTACCATGGTAGTACCATGGTGTACCATGGTAGTACCATGGTACGTACTATGGTACACCATGGTAAAATCTGAGGTACCATAGTAGTACCATGGTATACCATGGTACATACTATGGTACACCATGGTAAAATCTGAGGTACCATAGTAGTACCATGGTAGTACCATGGTGTACCATGGTAGTACCATAGTATGTACCATGGTATACCATGGTACATACTATGGTACACCATGGTAAAATCTGAGGTACCATAGTAGTACCATGGTACTACATGGTGGTAGTACCATTTGCGCCGCATTTGGGCATAAGATGAGGTTTGAGTCTGCGTGATTTGCGTGTAGGGAGGGGCAGCAGCCATATCATTAGCTAGAACTAGCTAGATCTGATGGTTTGGACATAAACGCGAGTGAAGTACCGGACGCGAGAGAGAGAGAGATCAGCACCTGCAGCTCTGCCCGCTGTGAGGGACCGGTGAGCGGAGCAAAACACACCTTTAGACGTCACCTAACACATTTAGCTATGGCACTGTCGTATACATTGAATTATTCAATTTGATAATATGTAATCAACTTAGGCATCCCTCCCGAAAAAAAAAAAAAATTAATAAAAATATTCATAACTCATATTCGAATACCTGAATAATTTCGAATATTCGAATATTCGATTAATCGTTCCCATCCCTAGTCAGTAACTGAACTCTTTTTTACTTTCTTTGAAAATGTACCTCAACAAGTAACGAAATGCAGATTCAGTTTCAACACAGTTGAAAATAAATATAATAGCTCTTACCAATATAAAATATTTCTGTGTGGGCCTTTCAGCGGTAAGTGGAGGATGATGAACCTATGAAGGAAAACATTTAGAATCAGTGGATTTAAGATAAATAATGAGATAAAAGACTACAAACAATTATAACAAAAGCACATGGAATATATATAATACATACTTAAATATAACAAGTCCTCCTCTCTGCTCTTGTCTCTGTGTGTGTGTGTGACAATGCCAGTGCTAGCTAGATAGCTAACATTAGCTAAACATAGCGTCATGATGACGCGAATGTCACGGTTCAAAGCTGTGTGGCTAGGCTAACTAGCAAACTACTTTACAGCGTTATAACTGCCTGAACGGGCAGTTGGCGGTAGTTAAAGCGTGCTGGCAACCAACACTAGTGAAGCCGTGCAGCCAAGAATGTCCGTCCGTCGTCACTGACTTTATGTTAAATCGTCAAAACAAAACTTCAGCCGTTGGCAGCACACAGAGCCCCACATTATCTCATATTTGTTCAGAAAATGAATAATAATCCTTGTCACAGACGGTCCTTGGCATGCGGAAAACAGTCGCTGTTTTTTAAAAGTTTATATGACGTTATTTTAAGTGTGGAAAGGGCACCAACAACGATAGCTTAGCCCGATCCGATCTCCATTCAGAAAATGGCTGCTTAAAAGTGTTTTGCCTGCAGTTTTGTAACTACACTTCCCACAGTAGTCAATCATGGTTTAAATTAATTGGTGTCAGTATGTTGTTGATTCGGCCTCATTGTTATACGTTTATTACAATAAAATCACGGCAAATAAGCTAAATGAATGTACTTACTTTGACCGAGACTGACTCACATACACACGCGCGAGCACACTAACAAACACAGCCACACATGCGCCATGCCCGACACAGGCATGGCGCAGGTGCTCACACAAACGCCACAGCAGTAACCGCAAAAGTGAAGCAGACTGAATACTTTCTCCACCTCTGCCAGTAACAATGGCCCGAAACCATAGCCTGTATATATTAGCCCAATTAGCGGGTATGGTGATAACGAAATGATTCTTAATACATCTGTCATCAACAATAAATGTGAAACAATTTGCTAATGTCAGTGCTAGCTTGATAGCTAACATTAGCAATACATGGTGTCATGTACACACGTCCCCGTAATTGTAACATACCGAACGAACACCGCACTTAAGGAAAGGGGTACAAACATTTATTGAGCAGAAACATTACATTTAATTAACTTACTTTTGGAGTCTCTCACAGAGGTTGGCTTTGTGTAACCAACTGATACTTTTCGCGGTTGTACCTCTTCTTCTGTACTTTTTTTCGGCAGTTCCAGAGGACCAATCACAGCTCCGGACGCCATTTGAATATATACTTCATTTCCGGTTATAACCACATTCGATTACATTGATTAAAATGTTTCAATTAAATCACGTTCAGTCAAAGCGATTTAAATACATAGATTTAACATTCTCAATAAATACATGAAGTCTGCTTAATGAAATCACATTCAGAGACAGAACATGAACTAATTCCGTTGCATTTACTGTTTTTATTTGTGTAAATTCAAAGAACCCCTATGTCCATTTTTTTCAGTGTAGTGTGTCCTCGCATATGATTGGCCGCATGGTGGCTCAGCAAAATAAAGTCCCGCCCCTGCCTGCATGGATTCACAGCAAGAGTAGGAGCGGCTGAAAATTCTGTTCTCCCCGACTGGAGTCTGCTCTTCTTGCAGCATCTCGCGATCGGCGTGTTGGAGACCCCTGAATTAAAGTATCAAGTCACCTCAAGTCAGAAGGCTCAAGTCCAAGTCAAGTCCAGAGTCATTGGTGTTCAAGTCCAAGTCGAGTCGCAAGTGTTTTGTGATTTTGTCAAGTCGAGTCCAAAGTCATCAAATTGGTGACTCGAGTCTGACTCGAGTCCAAGTCATGTGACTCGAGTCCACACCTCTGAAAACTGCGGCATGTGTACGGCTCCTTATGAGTACTGCCATTTTTGGAAGTGCCGGAGCGACGTTCTGGTGCTCTCCGTCAGAACTGCACCCCTGTCAGACGAGACATGGGGTCCTTCTCAGGTCGACTATTTTCATTTCCTCGGTCCTCGGTCCTCGGTATCACCGGAAGTTGATTTGTCTGCGCCATCTTGAGTAGCGTCCCATGGCTCTTATTTCTGCCGGAGGACAGAGAATCGAGGAGCGAGGAGTGATAATGGAGGAGCGATAACCGAGGAACCACCAGACCATCCTCCGGTGAAATCCTCAGATACTCTCCCAGCCCCCTTACTGTGTATCGCTCACTGATTGGACGATGCAGCGCATGCACTGATCTGATGCTTCTTGACATGAGAGCAGTTTCCCAGCGGAGTGAAGAAAACACATGAAACTCACGGGACTCACTCCTCAGTTTATACTGTGTTTTGTTTCAATTAATGCATCATTCAGTTACAAATATGTGATATATCTGAACAACAAAGTGGTCAAAAATCATTTTATTTATTTATTGGAAACATTTTCATGATCGCTTTTTCGTTTTACATTTTCATTTATTGTCATTTCCATTCAAAAAAATAAAATTATTTAATTTCTATTGTGCACTCTAATCAATATTAATCTAACTATTGTTCGTTTATACCTTTTAAGAATGGCGTTTATCTTTTTTGAGAATGAGTTCTTTATTTGGTTCTACAACAGATGATACAAATGTATATGTCAGTAAATGTGTACTAACAGAGGCGGGGGTGTGTGTGAAAACAACGGGGACAGAGCTGCTGTCAGACATCAGCTGTGCGGTGTCATCACAAACGGACGTCGCTTCATGTGACGCTCCGGAGGAAAGGACGTCCCATTGCTCTTAAAACTCATTTCCCTGCTTCTCGTGGTTTCCTTGCGTCTCTCCATGCTTCCCTGGTGGGAGGGACTAAACGCAGTGAAACGACGCAAGTGAGGGACGCAAGGATTCCATTTAATCGACCTGAGAAGGACCCATATACCACGTGATGACACGTTAGGCTCGTGTTGTGTTCAAGGACCCTGACCTTGGCCAGGAAAAACAGGCACTCGCTTGTTTAATTTGTTTGCGGTCTAGATTTCTTGAATTTTTTTTTTTTTTGCGTCTGTTTGTAAATTACCTCGAGGGCCGTACCAATACGTATACGGCCCGCGAGACCCACCCCTGGGTTAGAGCAATGCGAATATTCGCATCGCGTCCGTTGTGAACACAGCATAATGCAGTTCAGAAACCACTTTTCTGACGCTTTTAAAGCAACTTTGAGATTTTAACAGTGTGAGGGGCCCAAAGGCCATGGTGGCCGTCGGACGTACAATTATTTGTGGGGCATAACGGCCAGACCGAGGGGCTACGATGGCCATGGCCGTCATGGCCGAACGTGAAAATCCCACCCTGGTGAACACAGTCCGAGACCTCTGAAGTGAACTAAACAACCAGACTCTGGTCCGCCTAAAAGAGTTGGGTCTCGGACCGCTTTGCAAGTGAACTCTGGAGCGGTTCATCGCTGGTGTGAACACAGTCTGCTCCAAAACATAGTCATCGTAGCA